AAGCAGCTGACACTAGGTGGCACCATCCGGCCGGAGAGCATCGCCATCCTGAGCCCCTACAGCGCCCAGGTGTCCGAGATCAACAAGAGCCTGCAGAGGGAGGGCATCCGCGGCGTGACCGTCTGCACCATCATGAAGAGTCAAGGTGAGGGGACAGGAGCGGGAGGGTTGGGTCTGTCCCCTCCTGAGGAGCTGCTCACAGATAAAATCGTCCAGCAAACCCTACCCCAGGGTCATTGCAGCCGTGGAAGATCAGATTTCTGGGTGATTTGTGATTGTAGTAAACCCTTTGAAAGCCTCTGGAGTGCTTGGGCAGAGTGAGGCTGCTGAAGGCAGGAAGGTGAAGGATCTCTAGTGGAAGATTTCTAGTGAAAGGTTCCCTGCTCATGTCAGCGAAGTTGGAACACAGAATGTCCCTTCCAAACAAAACCATTCTGTGCTTCTGTATCTGAGAAGGGTGTTAGAGAACTGCCAGAACACATTTGTTCTCTTTGGAAAGCAATGACCAGGAGTCCAAAAGCCTCCAAAACACAGAGGGTGGCAGTAGGGAAATGAGTAGTCCTCTGGGGTAGAGAAATGGCCAGATGCTTCCTTCTAAGAAAATCTGTTTTGCTTCCACTTTCTAGGAAGTGAATGGAAATATGTGATCCTGTCAACCGTACGCTCCTGTCCCCGGTCTGAGATCGATAGGAAGCCCACAAAGAGCTGGCAGAAGAAATACCTGGGGTTTATCACCGACCCAAACCAGGTCAATGTTGCCATCACACGAGCTCAGGAAGGACTCTGCATCATAGGTTGGTATCCTTGGACTGTGCACAAGCCTTCAGGGGAATAGGATTCCTGGATAAAGGGATGGTGACCCAAACTAGTACAACGAGTGATCATGCTTTATTCTTCTGCCCTTTAGTCTGGGGTTTTGAAACTGGGGAATGTGGGCAAAGCAGGGTTCATTCACAGCTTGAATACAGCAAGTATAGTTTTTCTCACCCTTTGTTTTGGACCACGTTGTTTCTGTTAGTTTCATGCTAGAACTCTGTCCTAACAAAAATCTGGGTGCTCATTTTGCTCCTAATCACGCAGGTGTAGGCTGTGATGTGTAGGGAAGCTGCTCACAGATAAGACAGCATGGAAAAGGAGCTGGGATTTCACATATATCCCTGCAAGTGACCCAGCCCTTTTAGCTAGAGATTATAGACAAAAATGGTATCAGCCAAGCCTCTTCTAGCCACTAACCTGCTGTCCCCATCCCTCTGCCCACAGGGAACCGGTACCTCCTGGAGTGCAACCCTTTGTGGAAGAGACTGCTGCAGCATTACTACCACCACAACAGCTGCACTGCAGCGCAGGAGATCCGTGTCAGGAGGAACTCAGCCCTCCTGCGGTGAGGATGGGCCCTCTCTGCCTGAACTGCATTATGTGTGCCTTGGGAAGGACCAAATCTTTCCGTTTTTCAATGACCTACGGAGCCAAATGCAGCGGGGGATCTGGGAGCTTCCTGCACCATGACAACTCAGCTTCAGCGTCTGCTCCAGCATCTTGAGGTGTTTTTAATCAGTGCAATCTTGGGCAGGAGCTTTCAATTCTAGCAAACCAAAAAGGCATTGGAGATAGATGATGGGCATGTGACTTTACTGATGATGATACTATTTTTGTAACTGTAAGTTGCTCAGCACAACCCTCATCCTACTGCAGCTGCAGTTTGGGGGGGACCAAATATTTGCTCCAGCTGTCAGGGTTGCACTTTGGGGATCAAATGCTCAGTCTGTTCATCGGGGTGGAACGACTGCATGCAGCGGAGCAGCGCAGCAAGATGCTGTTTGCCATGGAGGACCAAAGCTTCTGAGTACTGCCTCTCATTTTAAATCCAAGGACAGGAGATTTTTAAGACTTCTCACTTTTTACCATTTTTTTTAAGTGAAGGAGAAAAGCAATGAGAGATGCATGCACCACTCTTTGTCTAGCCAAAATGATGTTCTCTGAGCGTGTAAATATCGCAGCGGCAAGGCCAAGGTGATTTTGTAAATAGATTTACGTGTTCTTTGTACAAAGGAGTTGTCCTCACCAGCATAAAGGCAATGAAAAGTGGGGACCTCTCCTACCAGGAAACATTGGGATTTGTCAGCCCATTTTAAACTGTTCAGAATTTTATTTGAAATCTCCTGTTGATCCCCCCTCCCTTTCCTACCCCACTTTTTTTAAAGCTGCTTTTAATTTATTAACTTTTAACTCTGTGAATTTGTTTCACAGCCTTATGGCCTGAGTTTTTAAGAGCAGTGAAGGAGTGTATGTGTATAATGTATTTTTATATTTTCTGTAGCCAAACTGCTGTGAGCTGGAAGCTGTGGTTCACCAGAGAGGCTGCTTTCACCCAGTGACATGTGGCTGGTAGAGATGTGTTGTGGTGAATGGTGCCTCTGAGAATCATGGAGCTGCTTTTGGAAGCATGACAGTTTTGAGGGAGGGTGTCTTTTATCTCATTTCAATTCTGAATGTATGAAGTGCCTGCCTCAGCTCTCCCCAAACCACATGCTTGGCAGTCCTTAGGTGTTCATGTGGGATGGAGCTGAGATGCAATCACACAAGTTTTCCTTGTGGTGTGGATCCCTGTGATGTCACAGCACTATGGCAAGAGGAATTTTGTCCTGTTTGCAACTGAAATCCAGCGTGGCTCTTTCCCATGTGGAAGAATGGCAATAGAAAAGCATTGTGTCTGGAAAAGTCTTGATTTAACTCTGTGTTTCTTCTCATGACTCTGTGTTAGACTTGCCTCCAGAACCTACGGAGAGGTTGTGTTGTTCTCTTCCTTAATCTACCTTCCCGCAGTCTGCCCTTGGGGGGTTTGAGCTGTATGCCAAAGACCACCCAGGCTTGCTCTTGTCCTACTGAAGCATAATAGTGGGCATATGGCTGGCAATTCCCTGAAGGATAAAAACCCATAGGAAGTGTCTCCTGCTGGTTCTAAAGATGCTTGGTAAAAGCTGGTAAGGTGTAAAATTAATTGTTCCTCTTTGAAGTCATCCTGTGTAGGATCTTAAAAGATTCTGCACCAGCCTGATTAGCAAATATTATTGCAATTCCAAAATAAGATTGTCTGTGGATCATTCTGTGGACAATTGAAATTAAATCACCTAGCTCCAAAGATTCTATAGAGAATTGCAAAAAATGCTGGAATTATTGGGATAACTACTTTAGCATGGTGCCAGCTTCATTTAACAAACCACCTTGGTTCCTTTAGAACCAGTGGCTCTCATTTTCACTATCTCCTTTAAGTGAAGAGTTTCTCCCCTGGGTTTTGTGCTGGTTATTTCATACATGTAACACAAACAAGGAGACTCACCCCTGATGTAGTGGTTTAGTCAGTGCTCTTGGAGGGGATTTGGCCAAGAGAGAGTCATCATAAAGCAACTCTCTGTGTCCTTAGTGGGAAAAAATGTTTATTTCTACTCCATGGAGGTAGAATGAAATGTTTTGCTTGGTCTGTGTTGCAAGTCAACATACATGTTATTTTTTTTCCTCTGAGGATGTATTTTATAACTGGTGATTAGGAAATACACCCAAGCAGCAGTTACAGCCAGGCTGGGCCCTCGGGCTGCTGGTGCTGTCAGCAGGTTCCTGGAGAGCTGGTCGTGCAATAGTCAGGGATAGCAGAAAGTGCAATTAAACTTTTTATAGACTGTAGCTGAGTATCATGTTCTTGTCCTTATGCTCATGGAATGAATCATAGAAATCAATAGAGGAAAAAAAGTTCAAATTAGCCTGGTTTCATTTGCATGCAGAGTTTTGAATTTACTTTTGGAAGAATTTCATGTTTGAGCAATATTCTTAAAATACCAAACTTTTGGTAATCCCAGTAGGAACACCCTGGCAGCCTGGTGCCCAGGGCATCTGTCCAGTCACAGGCTCTGTGTTCTCCACACTCAAAGACAAAAGCACATGGCTGCAGGACACAAATATCAGTTCATCCAACAGCATTAACTGAATTTCCTCGGCACTAGCTAGAGCTTGAACACAAATTGAACAAGGGGAACCTGTGCAGGCAGCCAGTGGTGAGCCCAGCACCAGGCAGGCTGGACTGATTTTGAGGATTTGGACAGATCTGTGTAGGACAATCAATTTACTGCAATAAATCGGTGGGGTTTTTAAAAATAGAAATGAAATGTCAAGTGTCATGAAGTCTGAATTAAGGAACTTGAAATGGGGCAGGTTTTTATCTTTTGTATGTCTGTGACTCGCAGCAAACCTCAAATGACCTTTTGGATACCAATATTTTTATCTGCTTTGACTGTTCATAAGAATGAATCTCAACATTCCTTTTTTGATATTTAAGCCATAATTGTAAAAATTATTTGAATTTATTTAAATAATAAATTTTATTACTAAAAGGTCTGTTCATGTGATGGTTTGACTAGAATCTGTGTGGGGACAGCTCTGTTTGGACTGAATGAAATGGTAAAAAAGAAAATTAACATTAAATGCAGGTTTTTGGCAGAAAATAATTTTTTACATATTGATGTATTACCCTTCCCTTTTTGTTGGGAGGCGTGGGGATTTATTGTTGGGTTTTGGTTGGCATTTTTTTTAATTAAAATGATCTTTTCATGCACTATAGAGGGGTGAAGTCATGCTTAGGTACCTATATGGCACAGGGTGTAGAGGGTGAGAGAAACCAGTGATGGACATAAGTCTGGGTGGGTGATTTGAAGAGCTTAAGAGTCCAGTTCAGTTATTTTGGAGGAAGGACAATACAAACCCAAAACATCATTGGAAGAAGCTGACACTGAGCATCCTTCAGTGGATGGAAAGCACCGGATGGTGGAGATGTTTCTGTCTCTTGTGCTGTGCTTCAGAGGTGTCCTGCAAGATTTTCTGGTTCTGGCTGCTCCCACCATTGCCTCTGGCAGTGGGACAAAACTGAGTCCCAAATGCTGCCTAAAGATGTAGAGATGTTTCTGTCTCTTGTGCTCTGCTTCAGAGGTGCCCTGCAAGATTTTCTCGTTCTGGCTGCTCCCACCACTGCCTCTGGCAGTGGGACAAAACTGTTGAGTCCCAAATGCTGCCTAAAGATGTTTTTTGTGAGAAATTTCTAATGGGTTACTGCTAACCTGGAGAGATTTTGGGAAGGCACCTGTACAATCGCTGTTGAAAACACAACGAGTTTGATTTAAAGCAAACTGTTTAAACAATTTATTTTTAATTACTCTTACTCATCTTTTTCATTAAACCATTAAACTGAGGGAGTCGGTCTTGTGAGCCGCCTCATCAGGCTGCGGTTGGGGGCTTCCTTGGCGTCTTCAGCAGGGTGAGTTTTTGTCTTCAATATAATGCAGTCGTGCCACTGCGAGTAGACGAGCGTGTGAGTGTCGGATCTCCTCACTTTGAACTCGTACAACCTGCCGGGCAGCAGGTGGTTGATGACACACGGGTTGGAGATGACTTCCTGGGTCCGGCCGTATCCTGGTTCTGTCTGACTGTCGTCTGTCACCAGCTTGATCTCCAGCTGCCACCGTTCCAGGTGTGACTCCTGACTTTCAGTGAACCACTTGAGCTGGGCCCAGGTCTGGCACGCGAACGACTCTATCCGATCAAAAATCGGCGGCTTCTTGGTGTAGAGAGAAAAAGTAATGGGAGGGTGTAGAGCACCTCCGAGATGTATCTGTGACACCAAACTGTGCTTGACATGCAGCTTCCTTGGCTCTTCCAAGGAAATGAGCTTATTGAAAAACATGGAGAGCTTGAGCACTCTCTTTATATTCAAGTCCCACTGGGAGAGGAAAGCTTCTACGTCACAGATCTGTACGTAACGGCTCAGCTCCTCCCGACCTCGTTCCAGCTGCTCCAACAGCTCAGTTAAAAGTGCCAGCTGGATTTCAGTCTGTTTTTTCCCCACCTTCTTGATCTTCTGGAGTTGGCAGGGGTTTGCTATTTGCAAGATGTCAGCAAAAATCATCATATTGTTCTGGTCTCTGACGCACACGTGTCTGGGCTCAAACTTCAAGTAAAAGTAACACTTCTTCAGAAGATGAACTTTGTTCCAGTGGTACTGGAGATGGTGTGGGTTCAGGTCAGAGCGCAGGAAATCCAGAACAAGGTTTTTGTTTCTCAGGTACTGCTTCATGCTGGCATTGTCGTCCTGTTCTTCTCTGGGTGGGGTACTGTCCGGAGTGGTTTCAGTCTCATGCAAAACTTTAGCCATGTTTCCAAAGCTTGGGTGCTGTGTAGGAAAGCAACAATAATAACATTAAGAACCAAAGGAAAAGCAGATGTGAAGGGAGTACAATCATGGCTGTGACTCTTATCTCTTAATTAAAGCTTAGCTTATAAAGAACTGTCAGACTAGATGTAGTTCCAGAGGAATTTTCCTTTATACTTGTCTGGTGTCTAATGTTTTGTATCCTCTACTTATATGTGTTCCAACTGGTCTCCCTCTACCTGCCCTTGAGAGGTTCTACCTCTGCTTAATAGATTCACTGACAGGAACAATTCTCTGATACACTCTGCCAAAATTTCTCCCTATCTTATTATCTTGTTTCATTCTAATTAGCTGCCTTTGTACTCCTGTAAGCAATTTCTTTCCATTCTTCTGCCTCTCTGGAGATGCCTATTTTTCTCTCTTTGTAATCTGCCAGGCTGTTGAGGTTTGAGGCCCATCTTCTCAGCCAGTTCCTGCAGCTACATAATCACATTGGTGATTCAAATTAACCCTCTGCCCCCACACGAGCTGGAATGCAGCAGGCAGAACAACACCATCCACCGAGTGCCACCTCACGACAGCTTCCCGGAGGAATGACAGCGTTCTCCTTGTGCTTCTACCTTCACCAGTGGATTGACAATCTCAACCTGACAGTGTTTTCTGTGATGTGCTGCTTTCCCTGTCTTTGGGTTTAGTTTGAATCATCTCAGACCATAAGGTCTACTTGGATTTTCTGCAAGGTACAGCAAGAGGATGACACACACGCAAAGCACCTCTAAACAGGTGACAGTTTGCCGTGGGGGTGTTTAGGCACAGCTAAACTCTGCTGGCTTAATCTTAGCTGTTTACAGGGGTCTGGAGTGACAGGACAAGGGGGAATGGCCTCAAACTGACAGAGGGCAGGTTTAGACTAGATATTGGGAAGAAATTCTTACTTGTGAGGGTGGTGAGGCATTGGCACAGAGAAGCCTGTGCCTGGCCCATCCCTGGAAGTGTTCCAAGCAAGGCTGGATGGGGCTTGGAGCAACCTGGGATAGTGGAAAGTGTCCCTGCCCACGGCACAGGGGCATCGGAATGAAATGTGTTCAAGGTCGTTTCCAACTCAAACCATTCTGGGATGATTTTATACTTCATTTACTGGCAAAGATGCGTCCTGGCTGACGGTGCCATCTGTGCCAAGGTGGAAGGTGTTTCTGTGTTGTGCTTTAGCTGAAGTGCCTGTGGCTCACACAGCTTATGCACCACAAACAGCAATTAGCTAAATAAATGCCTGTGTCCCTGTTGTCAGTGATACTGTAATGAAAACCCAGATGGATATTTAGGTGGCTTTCACAAGCTGAATACACTTGATTTGAAAACAAAATAAATGCAGTATTCTGAAACCAAGATTTAATTGGGATATCTTAATTCTTACATGCCCTGTAGAAGCTAGATGGTGAGATCTACTTAACAAAGCCATTTTTCTTGGCCTCATTTTCCCTAAATTCATAACACAGCTAATAACACTTCCTCATAGGAATTCCAAGCATTTGTAAACCTTTCAGCTGTCTGGCCCTGAGCTGCACCACAGTTTATAGTAAGTCATTCATTTGCAACTTTATCTTCCAAGAGAGCTGTCAACTGAAGAAAAACAAACTGTATTTCCTTTTCACTTTTTTCTTTCCACAAAAAAACCCGACCTAAACCAAAGCAGTGCCAGCTCCCCGCATCGTGTACGAAGCAGCAGGACCAGCACATGTGCCAGGTGACATTCCCCACTCTTGGAGAGATTTGGCTCTGCCGAGCAATGTGTTTGCCCACAGACCGAGCTGTCATTGTGCTTATTTTCCCTCGCTTTTCCCCATGTTGTTACATCCCTATTTTTTCCCTCCTGCCAGGGAGGGCTGGCTGCATTCCCCGCAGTGCTGCTCTGTTTGCAGCCGGGGGGAGCCGCACCGCCCAGGGGGGGTTCCGTGAGGGCTCTGCGTTCACCCAGGCCGGGCTCTGGGGAGGTCGCAGGGGCGCCCAGGGGCTGCCCCCTCGGGCCCGGCCCACCTTGTCACACCCCGGGAGCCGTGTCCAGGTGCTGCTCACACCCCCGGAGCTGTGTCCAGGCGCTCCGGGCCCAGCGCGGCCCGGCCGGATCCCCCCGCGGCCCGGCCCGGCCCGGCCCCGCAGGACGCGGCCGTTGCCACGGCGACCCCTCGGCCTGGGGAGCCGCGGCCGAAAATGGAATCGTTACCCCCTGGAATCGTTCATACCCTCCCCGCCGTAATTCACGGAATCGTTTGGCTTGCAAAGACCCTAAAGCTCATGCCGTTCCACGCCCCGGCCGTGGGTAGCGATGGCGGTAAATCCCACTAATCCCCTTCCCAGCCGCCTTCCCCCCCGGGCCGTCCCTCGGACCTTCGGAGGCTCCAGGCTCGGTGACACCGGGCGTCGTGGGGAGAGCGGCTCTGCTCTGCCCGTGCTACCAGACGTGCCTGCGGCGTCTGCGGAGCGGTGACACGGCGGTGACACGGGGCGGCACCGCGGCGCTCGGTGCCCGCCGCTGCATCACAATGGCCCGGCGGAACCGGGGAAGGTGGAACGCAGCCCGGGGGAACCGTGAAATCACAGCCTGGCAGCATGGCCTGGGCTGCACGGTCACCTTGTTCCACCCCCCTGCCGTGGGCAGGGACACCTTCCCCTAGACCAGGGTGCTCCAAGCCCTGTCCAACCTGGACACTCACAGCAGCTTCTCTGGGCAGCCTGTGCCAGGACCTCACCACCCTCACAGGGAAGAATTTCTTCCTAATACCCCGTCTAAATCTCAGATAAAGCCCTCTGGGATTTATGGCATTGCTGCAAATGGGGGCTTTTTGGGGGAGAATCTTGCAAAGTCCATTTGAGGCCAGACACCAGCGCTTCACTCTCCACAGTGAGACTGAGGCTGTCAAGACTCTTGACACACAGTGTCAAGAGTTTTGTTAAACACATAATCCTTAGGAAAGAGCTGTGCTGAAACAGGATATAAAATGCTCCATTAAGTGCAGCGAACTTCCTTCTGGGAAGGAAGGGATTTTGCTGCTCTGTTTCCTATGGGACTGGCTGCCCAGCTGGCTGTGCTGCTGTGGAGAAGAGAGTGGCTTGTCTGGTTCAAGGTGGCAAGCTCCATACCACAACTGCTGAACTCATCAGCAAACTGGCCAGGCCTCTGGGGCTGCAGGTGCCTTCATACTCCCTGTTATTAAATCTTTGGGTCAGGGCTTAGCTTTAATGCTGTCTGGTGTGCTCAGCTGGACCATCTCTGCTAGGCTTTTTTAATTGAATGACAGGCAGGATTCATAACGCCAGCCCTGGGCTCCTGCTTGAACATCAAGGGAGGAGGCGATGTGTCATTTTAAGAAATCAATGCATCTTCTCAAGGCAGCCAGAGCTTACCATTTCATTTCACAGCTGCCAAGAGATTAACTATACAACTGTCAGGTGTGATCCTCTAACAGACAAGGGAGATAACAAATATGAGTCAAAGCAGGTTGGTAGCCTTGTTTGGAGAGGAGGGCCAGCAGAGATTAGTATTTGATAATTACACAAAGTTTCTGTGGGAAACAAATATTCCTGCTCGTGTCATGGGTCTCGACCCTGTTGTTTGGACGGTGTGTGTTGGGAAGTGGAGCTGTCCTTTCCAATCAGCCTTGGTGCTCTGAGGGTGTGAGGAGAGTCCTGTGGGGGTCCAGCTTGCCCTGACTCCTGCTCCAGCTGGGCCCTGTGCCAGATGCCCAAGGAGGAATCATGGAATCATGCAATCACAGGGTGGCTGCTGGAAGGAGCCTCAGTGCTCCCCTGAGCACAGCACGGTGCCTGTTTGGAATGGGCTTTATGGCTGGAGAAGGCTTGCACTGAGAGACCTGCACTGAGCTTGCTTGTACTTCTACTGCCAAAAATACTAACCCTGAATCCCAACTTTAGCGTGGGAAAAGGGAATCCCTTTGGCTGTCCCTAGCCTGAGCTGCTGGCCAAGCTGTTTTCTTGGTTTTAGGAATGGGAAAGTAAACCTGTTTAGAGTCTACAGCTGAAATTTTAGTTTTTTCCATCCCTGTGCAACAGAGATCAATTCAACTATAGGATTTTGTAGCATTTTATGAATCTCTTTGAATTAATACACATACAAATGTGTTTGAAGCCACCAACACCATGTAACCCTTTGCCCCCCTCATCAGCTGAGCTGTCTCTGTGACAGAACTGACAGCCACTGTCACCCTGTTTGTCACTCTGCCTGTCTTGTCCACAGCATCAAAATAAAGAACTTGTTAGTCCTGTCTGAGATCAAGATATAAGCAGACAATTGATTTTTCTCCTTCTTTTCATTAGTGAGTTCTGACACTTAATAAAACATATATTTCCACACTCAGGGTAAGCAAAACATCCAGATAGTGCCTGTCAGAGAAGGCTGGAAGCAAGGATTAATCTTTATGGAAAATCAATAGCTGGAACAGAAAAATTGGCAGAACCCAAATTAAAAGTCACTGGCAATTTCTGTCTTCATATTTCACATCTGCATTTCTGAAAAAGAGATTTTCTGTAAAGGCAACAACCACAGAGTCAGGGAGGAGGGTGGACTTTGTGCCTGGTTCCTCTTCTGCAGTTTCCAGGTGGTAGCTGGCAGGTGGAGGTGGGTGCCAGGTTTGGAGCAGCTCTTTGGGCAGCACCTGGTTCAGTGTGATCCCTGTTCCAGTGTGCAACACTGATCTTTCTGCTAGAGCTTGTGTCCCAATGGCAGCACTGTCATTAAATCTGCCAACATCACCTCCTCCAGGGTGCCTGAGTTATCCCTGCAGCCCCAGATTTTACCCATCCTCCACGATATTCACCTGGCTGCGTGCAAGCAGGATTTTCAGAGCAACATAAAGGCTGCAGCCCCCATCATCACAAGGCTATGACTGATTTACTCACTGCCTGCTCCCAGTTTCTCTGGTGCCTCAGATACCTGAAATAAATTATACATTCCAAATATATTCCAACTGTAAATCATAGCCACACATCAGTGAACTCGTGGTGTTCGTCAGACTCTGATTCAGAGGCTCACTTTGAGAAGGAAGAGGAATTGAAGTTTACTAAGGAACCCGGGGGAAGGAGGGAGGGAATTGCTCTTGTGGGATGCAAAAGCCCCAGCTGGACCAGGGCAGGAAAGAGTTAATTGTGTCCTCGAGGCAGCAATTATCTCCAGCTCATTACACCCACTAATGGCACCCGAGGAGCGAGCCCCAAAGCCTGGACGTGCCAGAGTTTGTAGTGGCTTTTTGCATAGAGCAGGTCAATAAATTTGGGGGTTTGGAGGCTGGTTTGGGACAAAAATCTCTGGTCTGAGCCTCACGATCACGCAGGGCTGAGAGCCCCCGATTTCCTTAGAAGCATTTGCCTTGTAGGCTCTGCTTTCCTCCCCTGCTGATGGATGGACATCCCGGACAAGTCTTGGCACCAAAGGGGGCCCCTGGAGTGGGCTCCCCCTCCTTTCTCCAGCCGTGACATTAATTTCAGCACGCGTGGACATGAGACTCGAGAGCCCGTCTGAGCCGCAGCGCTGGGTTATTGATGGTCTCGCTCAGGAAGATGGAGATGGAGCGGGGTCAGGGGAGCTCCTTCATCTTGCTGGAAGCTCATCAAAAGCCCGTTCGCATCCCTTTGTGCTGTGCTGAGCTTTGCAAGACAGACGTCCTTGAGCGTAAGGTCAAGGCAGGTTGTCCTGTCCCGCATCCCACGAGACATCCCTTGCTGGCAGCCAGCAGCGAGTGTGCCTCCCCTTTTTCCAGGAAACTTCCCAAGGGGGTCGCGTTTCCTTGGATGGGGGAGAGCAAAGACGGGAAGTGGGAACTTGCTGAGCCTGCAGCTTTGTTCCCGGGCTGTGCCTGGCGGGGAGCACGGCAGGGATGATGCCGGGGTGCAGCTGGATGCCTGCCCTCCCCAGGGAAGGGACATGGACACAGCTCCGGGCTCGAGCATCGATCCCGCTGGGAGCGCTGTGCCCGGCACAGCCGCAGAGCAGGGAGGCAGAGCTGCCCTGCTGTGATTTATCGCCCGGCTGGGCTTGTGCTCCCTCCCATCCGTCTGGGCTTCCGTGTCCCGTGGATAAATCAGCCTGAAGCGTTTGATCCCACAACAGCCTCCAGCGAGGGGGACTGCAAACCGCCAGGGCAGGAGCAAGGCTGGGGCTTTTATTTCTTGAATGCTACAGTGGTTTGAGGATCATTTGTGTGTGTGACTGGGGCATGTCTGTGCCTCAGGGAGGGATTGAGGCGCACTGAGAGTTGATGA